TTCGGCTGCAATGGAAACGAAACTAAGAATCTCTGTGAGAAGAATTGTGGATTTGTAGAGGAATTTTCGCAGAGAGATTTCTCGAGGGAGAAATTGAATCGAAGGAAGAACAAGAAAGGGGGCGGTGGTTTGGTGGGAAGAGGAGATCAGGAGAGGTATCGGGGAAAACGACGGGAGAATGAAAAATGACGAGAATGACCTCGCCGTGGAAACGTAGTGGAACTGGCGGCGAGGGGCAGTGGGGTCCATAATTCCAGCCGGCAAATTTGTTCGCGCTCCTTGTTAAGCACCGGTGGAATCTTTAAAACGTTGTGCGTTCAAACTTCAAACAATATATATATATTTTTTTATATTAAGAAAAATATATTTGGTTCACTCTATCTATTTATTTATTTTAATTAAACAACACTGATAGTAATTAAATGATAAAAAATACGTGAATAAATTTAATTCTTTTTCAATTTTACTGGATTAGTTTAAATTTGATCCTATTTTAATTTTGTCCTAAATAAAAGACAGGACCAATTACTATGAATTAAGCTCCATTTAACTTTGTCGTATTGAACTTAAGTGAATGGTTGGATTAATCGTATTAGATGAGATTTATTGTTTACATTAATATTTTTTTAAATAAAAAAAGATATTAATTTGGTTGGGGTTAGTTTATATGGTTAGGTTTGACATTATTTAAAGTTGAATGTGTTTCACATTTTTTTAGACATTCAAATTTAACTTCTTAGTTTTGAGCTTCTTGTTATTATTATTATTTGTTTATTCGATTTTCTTTAATTAAATTTGGGCGTTTTGTGGGTAAATAATTAAATATACCCATTTCTTGAGGAGTGTTTTCCCACTAAATTTGAAAATGAATAGATTATCTTGATAATTTTACTTTCTATATTTTGAGATTTTGAATTTTTTTTTTAATTTGACAGTAATATTTTCAATTTTATTATAAGCCAACATTTCAAAAACATCCTTAAAAAATGAAAATAAATTAAAAGTCATTAGTCATTTATATTTTTTTCAAAATGGAACATAAAAAACCAAAATATTTTTCCATTTTTTTTACAAAAAAAATTCCCAAAATTGTTAATAACATGTTTAGAGGTCGCATATTATTGACTTGTAAACGAATTATTTCAAACATTATAATCATAAACAAAAGTCATCTAAGAAATTCTAAAAAACGACAATTATGTAAATATTTAAATAATAATAAAAAAGCATTAGAACACAAAAGCTTATCCATTGAAAGAAAATTGTTAGTCTGAATTTTAAAATGTCTAAGAATTGTGCGTGTGAACTCATGAGGAGTCAAATATTCCATATCCCTTAAAGCTTCTCACCAAACAAAAAAGGTTGAAACTTTCTCATGTTCCCAATTTTCCACACTCTTTCCTTTGGGAAAGATCGACGGGTCAGGTGTTCGGTTCATGCGTTAGATTTATACGGTTCGAAAGTATAGATCATAATATATTAGAGGACGTTTGATTTGTGTAATCTCTATCTAGTTTGTTTAAGATTCGTAAAAGTTAGTTTACGATCTTAAAAAAAAAACATTTTTCATCTTTATACTATTCCTGAAGTAACTTAGTCCATAAATTTTAGTCGGTAACTATTCGATCTATATACTTTCAAATTCGTAATTATTTAGCTCTTAAATTTTAATATGTGTCAATTTGAATATTGTTCAACGGGTTAACACATCGTTATTGGTCCGGCTAATTTTTTTTATTTATTATTATTATTTTTAAATATCTTCATTAAAAAAGATTACTTTATTATTTTTTATAAGCTAAAGTTTTAATTTAAATTTTTTTTTAAAAAAAGTTTTCTTTTAAAAATTTTGATTTTATTAATAAAATTACAAATTAAAAAATAAAGATTTTATTTTTGTTATTAACAGTTTTTTTTCCCTCCCTTTGATTTTTTCTTGGTCAAGTTTCTACAGGTGTCATGCTTTACGTTTTCCCTTCTTTTTTTTCTCTCTGGTTTTACTTAACTCACGCATGTTACTGTTATTTTATTTGTGTATTTAAGGGACACATAGAGACACACAGAAAGACAGTGCAGAGAGTTAGAAACTCATCACCATATCTTCTTCTCTCCATCTCTCTTATCCCACCATCACCACTTTTCTCTTGCATACCCACGACCTCCGACGACGCAAGGGAACGACGCGAACGACAGCAGCAACAACCTTCTTCTTCACAGTTTCTTCCAA